CTATAGCGATTAACTTCAATGAGGGTGTGAGACAAGCATGGGTGGGGGACAGGGAAAAGAGCCGAACATGTGACACTACTGTGCACTCATGAGGTATTCAGTGTGAGACACTGGTTGTCTGTGTGTGGAAACAGGCAGCATGGAGAAGACCTGTGACAGCGATCTTGCCTTCCTTTCTTACTCTTTCTCCCCATACGCTGTCAGTGCCGAACCGAAGCCGTCTCAGCTGAAACATGCACGTAAAGCTTTCCAACTTGGGGAATGAAGTCATGCAAAGTTGAAATGCCTACACAAAAGTTTTGTTCCCTAATACTGTAGTGAACAGTTCACAAGTTGGTGGGTGGATATATATCAAATTATAACTTGTTTGACAAAGACAGTTTCTGTAGTTTTCCATGTGTACGCCACCATCATGGGTTTTAAACCAATATTAAGTCTTTGCGAGGGCAGACTTTCAGCTTTATTTAAAAGTTGTTGGGTTTTTTTCAGCAGTTTTTATACACTTTCCCCCATTGTAATGGGGACAAACACAATTGGACATTTGATCGACAGGCAGTTTCATTGCCAATTGAGGCCTGTTCCCTCGTTATTTCATGACAAATGAAGTAGACATAATGCTCCACGTTTACCCAAAGTATTCACTCACCCATCCAAATCATTCAGTTCAGGTGTTCCAATCACTTCCATGGCCACAGGTGTGCAAAATCAAGCACTTAGGCATGCAGACAGCTTCCAGCGCGGTACCGTGATTGGATGCCACCTGTGCATCAAGTCCAGTTGTGAAATTTCCTCAGTACTAAATATTCCACAGTCAACTATTGGTGGTATTTTAACCACTAAAAGCAAAAGTAATAGGCCACATAAAATCAGAGGGTGGGGTCAGCAGATGCTGAGGTGCATAGTACACAGACGTTTCTGCAGAGTCAATCACTACAGACATTTAAACTTGTGTTCTTTAGAATAAATCAAGAACAGTGCATAGAGAGCTTGATGGAATGGATTTTCATGGTCAAGGAGCTGCATTCGAGTCTTACATCATTAAGTCCAATGCAAAGTGTGGAATGCAACAGTGTAGAGCACCCCACCACTGGACTCAGATCAGTAGACACTGGCAATCTGACGGACAAGCATGGGTTTAGCCATTGCCAGGAGAACGGTAGTCATCTAACATGGATGAGAGAGCTTGGTGTGGAAGAGTTTCAAAGCCATTATAGCTGCAAATGGTACGCTGACATTATATTAAATGCTATGGATGAAGAATGGGACATGGCTCAATTTCATATATGTGTGAAGGTAGAAGATGAAACACTTTTGTAATATAGTGCATCTGAACATGATTCAAGTGTTGGATTTGTGTTTCATAGCTTTTAATTGTAATTTAAAATATGGGAAGCCATCATTAGCCTGCAAAAAAACAAACAAACCCTAAAACCTAAGAGAGATAGGAAGAACTTCAGGATTGGCCAAATCAACAGTAAGGTTCATTCTTAAAAAGAACGAATGCATTGAGTAGCTCAGCAACACTACAAGGCCTGAAAGACCACAGAAGAAAAATAAAGTGAATGATAGGATTATTTCAATGCTTAAGAAAACATCTAACCAATAGGACTTGAAGAGGCAGGCGTCTCAACCAACCAAGAGATGCCCTCGTGAACGTAAATACAGAGAGTTTGCATGGTGCAAACCACTGGTTACACTCAGAACAAGATTATACACATAGCATACTTGGAGTGTGGTGTGCTAATAAAAGATACTGGACATGTTACCATTTATTCAGAGGCTTATAACCACAAATCATTTTGACCATTTTCTCAAGTGTGGTGTTAAAAATACAAAAATAACTAGACATCATGGGTTTTCCAATGCACAAGGCTGAGTACTTACAGGTATTTTTATTGTAGACTTTCAGATATACACATAAGTTGAACAATGGAATTAAGACTTCTAGTGAAAGCCTAGTTTCAGCGTCCTAAATACTGGTATAACTTGAACCGAGTCATCTTTGTAGAATATCTTCACAAAGCCCTTACAAACATGGGTGGAGCAATAAACGAAGATATAAAAATGATGCTGTAAATTCAGACATTACCGACAAGACATTTTATAATAAACCTTTCCATAATTAGGCAGAGGCTCAAGCTGCTGGGAGGAAACAAGAATAGTGTCTTACACAATTAATTTGAACACATAAGACCTTAAAACTCGCAATGACCAACATATCAAAAACTCAATCCATATTCAAAAACAAGGCTTCAGTCTTTGGCCTAAATGCACCTATTGCTCCCCGAGCAGGCAGTGAGCCACAGTTGTGTCTAATGGGTGAAGGTCCGACCACCAGGAACTCACCGACATCACCTCCACTAGGCCTGGCTCCAGGGTGGTGCTCCAGTATCCCATCCCTGGTAAGGTAACTGGGTCTCTGTTGCTCCCTACCTATAACCCATTTACCTTGGGAGACCCTACCAAGGGGAAGTTACCTTTGTAACTCCATGGGTTACTCAGGCACCAACTCATAACATAGCAGTATCTGCATGGGGGGGAGAGAGACGAGAGTTTGTTTTGAAATCCAGGAAAGCAGTGGAGTCTAATACAAACGTGCATTAGGATTCACCACAAAGATTACTGAAAATTATAAGCATCTTGTGACCCTTCACACCTTCTCAGAGGTCTGTAACACAAAGGATTTATTTTAGCCCTGATTCCCAGTGTTATGAGGGTTACACTTTATTGTTTCATTACCATAATGACTTATTCTGCAGATCCAGCTGCTTCATGTAGGTCATGTTTGAGTCACGAGAAACATGCATGAAACCACCTACAGGCCAGTTTTTCAGAGAACGGTATTATACCTCCTGGGAGATCCCTCAGATATCAGTGTGCAGACACCATAAGGGTCCAGTTGTTAGAATCTAAAGTTAGTGTGTCCCTGATGGAGCGCGGTAAGGAAAGGAGATTTTTATTTCTTGCATTTTTCTCCTCCTTTGAAAGCAATATCCTTATAAGCCACCTCCTTACTCACCACTAAACAGTTTAACACAGCTGATGTTGCAGCTGAAACTATGTAGCTTGCATGCCATGAGAAAAAAAAACACAATTTAAAAGAACATAAACCTGTAATTCTTCTTAGGCCTTAGTCTTACTCACCAGACTAAGGCGAGTATTATGCTTTAGCAAATAGTTGGGTTTAAATGGACTAATACTTAGAGCACTGTTCCAGTTAAACACATTCATAAAGTGTTGATTACCAAAGGAAAGCTTAAATACTGTATTACACTGCTGTATTACACGGCTGAATGGCTCGTATTCATGCTTGGGAAAGCTTACAGTTTCTCATCCAGGTGATAACCACATTGGTGTAACATTAGGGTAAGTGAACCAGGTTGTAGTACAGGCCCCAGGTGACAGGGACAAACACATAACAAGAAGCTAACCCACATACACTACGTTGAACTAATATGTAAAGTTAACCTTTGTTAAGACACATTTAATTACATAACTGGACACCAGGAGCCAAGATACAGGGCACAGGTGTTTTATACTCTGGCCATGATGAGGAAGTTGGTTAGGGGAGGAATCAGAACTGAGGCTGTGTTAACTAATACTAGTCACTACATAAATGTGGAGCTGCACAGCAATCCCAATAACAGGATTTAAAGGGTGTTTAAAATTGGAAAAAAGACACCACAATAACATTTTAAAAGTAGATAGATAGATAGATAGATAGATAGATAGATAGATAGATAGATAGATAGATAGATAGATAGATAGATAGATAGATAGATAGATAGATAGATAGATAGATAGATAGATAGATTACCACAAAAAGACAACAAAAGGTTTCGGGTAGATGACAGAAAAAACAATTTGTTCTGATCACATAAGTGAAGCAAAATCTGTGGAGCAGTGTGGGGAAATCTAATTACAGTCTTTTAAAAAATGGGCACATGCCCCCCAGTGCTATCAGTCCGGTTTACAGCAGTCCAAGTTGTGGAAGGAAGTCATGCATCGTGGAATCACATCACTCAGCCTAACTTACTGCATATGCATCTGGTACACTAGCTGCACAGGGGCTCAGAGGAAAGCACTCCAAGGGATCATTAACACCGCCCAAAAGATCACTGGCTGCCCTCTCCCCACACTGGAAGTTCTACACAACGCCCACTGTTTTAAAAAGGCCCAAAACATCATAAAAGACACCTCACATCCTGGCCACTCCCTGTTCGAACTGTTGCCCTCAGGCAGACGGTACAGGGCAATCAGAGCAAGGACTAATAGACTCAAACACAGCTGTTATCCAACTGCAATAACACATCTGAATACTACAAAAAAATGTCCATCACGCCACTCTTGTGTTAATCTATGCACGGTCTGAAGCATGTGTGTGGGAATGTATGTGAATGTTTTACTGTTATATCTTATTAGTATTTTAAGTATTCTATCTATTTTATTTATTGAATTTTATTGTTTTATTTATATTTTGATATTGCTAGGGATGATGCAATGATCGGGGACCATTCTTAATTTCGTTGTTCTCATGACAATGACAATAAAGTTTCTGATTCTGATGATTCTGATTCTGAGCCTGATACCAGGAGTAAAGGATGTGGTAAAAACCTACAGCTCGGCAACTGCGCCTTCAAAATAAACCACTATTCGACTGGCTTTGAATTAGATGAGACACAAATGTCTTTACATCTGTCTAATAATAAACCCCTATTAGAGTCGCTATGAATTAAGAGAGACAGAAAACCTTTTGGAGTTGTCTTATCTGGTGTAAAATACAAATCTGGCAAATCAAACACTGCGAATAAGGGAGCGACTGAAAGTAGCTTTTAGAAATGCAAAAATTGCATAAATCCCATTCATAATTTATCTAACTTTACCTAGCGTGTTAAACGCCTGTTTTGTGTGGCCGTTACAACAGTTACGTGTGCTTTAACTTGAAAGCAACTGCCGGAAGTTGAGTCTTCTGTTTGGGCTAGCTTGGCGCCGTCGTAAGAGTAGATGGAGGTGAAGTTTCTCGCTGGAAATCGATCGACAGCGGACAGTTCAGTGTCACTCACACCGCGGAAGCATGTCACCATGTACGGTGTCTTTTTGACGATGAAGCGGGATCGTTTCCATGATGGCGACCGCAGTACGGGCCAGTGTGAAAACTTGAGGAGAAAAGTTTGAGCACGGAACAGGAGTCTTTTTCTGAGACTTTCTCTGTTGTTACTGGCGTGATAAAAAACAAAACAACAAAAAACTAACATGGCATACTCAACTTTCGTTTCGTTTGTGGCATTTGCTTTGAGTTTGTACTTCGGAGTGTCCTATTGTTACTTTTCCATACCGCTGAAAATATACCCAGGGAAGTACAACGTCTCATCGGATGTGAATTTGACGTCTCTTCGGAGAGTAGCGTTAAAGTCTGATGGAAGCGGTCTCTCTCTGGCCTCTGATCCCACCGGTACCGTGAACTTTCTGGACATGGTGAATAATTTGCAAGGAGACTCTGGGAGAGGCTACTACATAGAAATGTCAATCGGTACTCCTGGTCAAAAGGTAATGTAGCTCCTGAGCTCCTGTCTGTTTTAACTCTCTGAAATATTTTTTACGTTTCTCATTTAGACTTAAACGCACCACTTGTGTCAGCTTTCCACTTTAATCACTGTATTTGCGCTGTGTTGTGTGGTTTTGTGTTTATTTGTTTTTTCCTGGATGCATTTGTAGTGTGTTTACTGTGTATGTGTGAATAGGGGCTGGTCCATCCACCATGTGATCCAGTGGTCAGAAGGTGGGCTGGGTGTGTTTGTTTTGACTCAGGGCCATGGATACCCATCTATACAGCACTGTGTATTTAAATATGCTTTTAAATGTCTGTGTAGGTAATCTTGAACGTTTGAAAAAATAAGGCAACAGACTAGATCTCTATTACCCAAGAGGCTCCTTCATTTCTTAAAAAAAAAGAAAAGAAAGAAAGAAGTCAGGTATCTAATCCCCAGTGGAAGTGGTCCTCAGGGTCCCTGATCCACTTGGTCATGCGAGTCGTCACATGAGTCAAGGTGGGAAGGGTGAAACTACTGTGAGACTTCACCCCACCACATCTTGTGACCTGTTGAGGTCACCTGATGCAAGGTGTGAGTGGAGATGAAGCCTTCATCGTAGGTGGACGATAGCTGGTGTCGTAAGCCACCACCAATGTTCAATCACTGACTCGTTTAACAGCCATATTTTTTTTTTCAAGCTATTAAGTCTATACTTCAAAATATAAGGTTTAAATTTACCCCTGCAGCAGAGGGTCATGGGAAGATAAGTATGTCTAGTACATTCTTACATTTAGGCTCGCCTGGGACCACGGAGGAAGGATAATATAGCTGTGAGGGTGCTTCAGCCTCATTATAGCCTAGGGGTCTGTAGACTAAACCCCCACCACCAACACCAACACTCTTTCTCTGGCTCACATGCACTCACATGATGCTGCCTGCGAGGACCAGTGTTTCTTAGCAGGCAGCTGACAGGGATTACCAGGATCCCAGGCAGCAGAGAGCACCCCGAGAGTTGTACAAAATAGCACTTGCTCTACAGCAGGGATATTCGTTGGCTGCTATTCTTTTGGTTGCAGAACTTGGAAATGCGTATGTGTAATTTATTAGAACGTCATTTTTATACTGCTTGTTATGTAAAGCGCCTAACAAGATCATATTAATAATTGAGGAGGACTAAATCTGGGTGAGCTGGAGCTCCCGTCACTATTAAAAATACATGAGGCTTTAAGGGTGGCAGCGATTTGCCTTTGTGTTGTAAAGTAGTTGTCTTTGAATTGGAGCTTAAAGCAAAGGTGAATTATCTCATTAGTAAGTTGACCTGTTGCCCCGGGGCATCTCGAGTTAAACAGATCAGAGCTTTTAAGACCCTTGGGCAGCACATCTCAGTTTCTCAGGCTCACAGAGGCTTATCTGCGCTACCTGCCATGTCGCTGAGGATAACATTGCAGCACTTGCCAGAGTACACTTCCCACACTTCCTTATTATCAAGTCACAGTGCTTAATGACTTTTGTCCTAATAGAAAAGAACACTTTATAGTGTTCCCCAAAGAAGAAAATTCCCCTTTACCCTTATTACTTATCATTATTCAACAGGTAAATGTATAACAACAGATTATCAATCATAAAAGTCAGTCAGTTAAGCAAATGTCATCAATGCATTAGCACTGGAACTAAGATTACTATTCAGTTATATTCAGCATATTGGTATTTTAAATATGTTTCTCTATTGGGAGGAGTATGTATGTGTCAGTGGTGGCTCACCTTTACAAAACATTAAATCAGAAAGGGCGCAGTCTTTATGGTGTTTTTTTATTACAGCTGTGTGTTTCCTACTTTGTCAGGAAACTTTCTGTGCAGAGAACATTCACAAAAAGTTAATGACACGTTTAGGGGTTTGGCTATTGCCATTTAGTTTTTTGTTTCTTTGTTTTTTGTTGAATTGTTCACATTTGTGTGAGATTATGGAGATTATGGAGTGTTTTTTTTAAGGCTAGCTCGCTTAATCGCAGAATGGATCCATATTGCTGCATCAAGCATTAAAACCACCTGAAAGCTGAACTTGATACAGATACCTGCTAAACAGCCATTTTTATTATTTGTTCGCGTTTAAAGTCGTTCTTGCACAATTTCCAGGATGTTAATATTACGGATGTGTGAACATAATTGTAGGCTCAGACTTCTTTAATTGGTTTATGATGCACAGTAAAGATAGAGGAAGCTTCACCTCTTGATCTTCTAGTCTTTTAGTGAAACCTTGCCAGCAGAGAGCCATCTGCTTTGGTTCAGATTGTTTATGCGGTGGCAAAATGTCGTGTAACTCGATACTATTGAGTTATACTCTCAATATTATTCTAACTAGATGATGATGTGATTACAGGGCCGCGGTGTTCAATGAGGCACTATTCAAATCAGCCACTAATTGCGGCGTCTGTTAGCATGTGGCACACACAGGCTGAGTGTTGGCTGGAGAGCCTCACATCTGCTAATTGGTACAAACAGGTAGCAGATGCACGCTGCCTCCATGGAGCTACCGCCAATTAGACAGCGAACGCTCAACTGCAGACTGCCTCAGCAGGGGAAGAGACTTGCCTGAAGCTCTGAAGCTTGACAAAGGGAGGATAGTGTGACTAGTAAAAAGATAGGTGGTGTGGGGATAAGGAGCTGCCCTTGCTTTCCCTTCTCGCTATTCTCCTTCACCACAGGATATCAGAATTTTCCAGTCAGGCCTGTTTGACTGGTTCAGGCCTTGTGTGAGTGGCCTGCTGCCATCTGCTAAGGTGGCAGAGGAGTTTTGGATGGCACAGTGACAGTGGTGGGACAGGAGCCAGCGCAATGAGGAGGAACTGATAAGCCCGGCTCAACAGGGGTTTCCCATGGCTGAGTGAACCAGTCGATAACATGTGGTTGATAATTACAGACCTGCTTTCATAAAGGCCAAATGAACCTGAGCATGCCGGTGGGATGTCGGCTACAAGGAAATGAGTAAGAAAGTTTGCGCTCATAAGCAAACAGTGTAGCGTAATGGTCAACAAGCGTTTATCTGAAATGTAATTTAAGTAAACTATTGCCCGCTGTTGTGGTGCGCCTTAATGTAAAGGCAAACGCAACGAGGCGACAGTCGATCAGTTGTTGAAACCGCTGTTTACATTTGAACATGTCTAATGAGCTGCTCAGTTTTCATAGATTGCCACGAGTCTTTGTTGCTGATTCATCAGGTGGCGTCGGGGCATTAGGTTTATGACCCCCGCCTCGGTGGCGAATGCTTGCCAGCGAGTGTTAACATGGCCACAGCTGAAACATGAAGGTGACAGAAGTCTGCTGTTTATTTGTTCCTGTTCATTGACTCGATGCCTGGAAGACAACTTGATCTCAAGTGCTGTTAACTCGTCCCCACTGTTCACATGACACATACCAAACAACTGGTTAGGTCATACAGTCATGAAAGCAGCTTGAGGCTGTCGTGTTTGACTCTCAGATCACACATTCAGTGAACACTTACGTCCGAGGTGCATTGTTAATGACGAAGACCTTTCACACCAGTTTGTCCAACACTAGAACTGAACCAAAAGTAGTGCCGTTGCAACTTCATGTGTATCATTTCCTCTCGTGTGTGCTGCTAAAATAATGTTTACAGACGTTATTAAAAATGTGTAATTAATTTTAGCTGCAACCAAGCTGCGTTTTCTTCCTCCAGAGAAAATGTCCATTTACGGTCCTATATGAATCTTTCAGATGGGCACGAAACGCCCCTAAAAGAGATATAACCTTCTTTATGTTCGGCTATTTTTATGGCCCATTTCCCTTTCATTGTTTCCTTGAGAACTGTCGTGTAATTTACCTTTTGTGTTTTCATGCTGTGGGGAAATTTCTCACATCTATCTTTCTCCCTTCTCCTCTAATCATATCTGCAAACAAACTTTAATGTCTTTTTAAAGCTTAAAGGCTTGTGAATGCATCCCACTGTGCTTAGCTGTCATTCTTTTCTTTTTTTTCTTTTTTTCTTTTTTACCATGTGATTCTGGGGCCATGTAAGTGGGGGGAGGGGGGGTAACAGATAGCTGGAGTGATTGTTAAAACAAACTGTGCCTTCTGTTTTCCAGCTGAACATCCTGGTGGATACGGGTAGCAGTAACTTTGCCGTGGCTGCAGCTCCACACCAATTTATTACTCATTACTTCAACACTGCACTGTGAGTGGCTGGAATACTGCCTGCTTGCATTTTGTAATAACTGTAGTATAACATAGTAAATACATTCAGTTTTTGTTATATATAGCTTTGTAACTGTTTACATATTCTGTTTTCTTTTCTCCTGCTTTTAGTTCCAGTACCTACCGTTCAACCGGTCGCACTGTAGCTGTAAGGTACACCCAAGGCAACTGGGAAGGTGAGCTGGGAATAGACAGCGTCTCTATTCCCAGAGGCCCAAACGGGACCATCAACATCAACATCGCCGCCATCCTGTCTTCTGATGGCTTCTTCCTCCCTGGGATCAACTGGCAAGGCATCCTGGGATTGGCCTATCCTGTGCTGGCACGGGTACGGGAGATACTCATTTACAAGTTTGCGTAAAGTTATTAAGCAAAGTCATTGATTTCTGCCCAGTGTGACATTAACTAGTAAGAAGCTGTTTTACACTCTAATGAAAACAAAGACGACACAGACGTTTTGGCGCACTCATATGTGAATTGTGAAAAAAATGGGGATTTGATTTATTTCATTTGTGTTCTGTTCAACCGTTTTCTTACACTTGTCCAATTCAGGGTTGTGGGGGCCTGGAGCCACTGTCATAGGGTGAAAGGCGTGGTATACTAGACAGATTGCCAGTCTATCACAGGATTAACAGAGAGACACATTCAGGTCTACAGCCATATAAAAATCGCCAGCTAACCTAACATGTATATCTTTGGACAGTGGGGAAAACAAAACAAAGTACCAGCTGGTGGATTTGAACCCAGGACCTTCTTGCTGTGAGGCAACAGTGCTACCAAAAGCACCACCGAAGTGACTATAAAAGCATTGATTACTAAAATAACATAAACTAATTATATTGAGTGAATCCTCAGAGCTTGTCCGGACAGGCAACGTCATTCTCACTTACATGCCTCCCACTCCTCACATCACATATCAAACACCCTTCCAATTTAGCAGTCTACTTAAGCTGCAAATCCTCTGACTGCTGCCCTGAGTCACTGCTGTTTTAACCCCTGGAACAGCCCCAGCATCCACCTGTGTTCTCCGTGGGATATTTGCTCCTTACTCGTCAATTTCTTGGTGTGTCATATTTGCAGAATGTCATTTTTGGAGCACAAACACCATACTCTGGTTGAATTCTGTTTCTGTATGAATCGTTGCAAAATGATTTGGCTAATTAAAGCGCTGTTTTCCATGTATGTGGAATTAAACACAAACCTAAGGATGAGAGCAGAAGGAGGAAGCAAAACCTGAGAAAATGTGAACATGCAGGTTTCACAAAGGGAATGTGACAGCATTGCATGGCTTCCTGCTCGCCTCCATTTCTGTTAAACCACTGAATAACTTTGCGGTCTAATCTTATCTGAATGTCATCATCCACTTTTCACATGAAAGAAGAAAACTTGTTTGTGATATAATTACAGGAGTGTGTGTTTTTCTTATAAAATGATGGGGTGAGGTTATGTTGTTGCTGTATTTTGTCATCTCTTACTTCCATCTCCCCTTATACCATAGATGTGAATTAATCAGTTTTCTTTTTTCAAAAGAAGAGCTAAATCAAGGTGCTTTACCCAGTGTCAGCTTTTTTTAACAGATTAATCTCGTCTTAATGGAGCGTTAAAGACGTCAGCGCAAACTGCACAATACGTACCTTCATTCTGCGCTGACTGCAACAACCTTTGGAATCAAATGTCAGTGATTGTGGAGCCGATACGCTTACACTGACCACTTTGTGCTATTGGCGACTCCTGAGTGCTGAGGTTGAACTTTCTTCCAGGCTGTTTGTCATGCATGACATGGTGACACTGTGGAGGAAAACAGGAGTGAACATATCACAGTCCAAACTGATGATATACCGCTGTCACATAAAAACACATTTCAGCATTTCCATTCAATAGAGCTGATGTTTGAGGTGATTGATTTTCTACGATGTTGTGTGTGAAGCTTTTACAATCTGTGTAGTTACACAAGCTAAAGGTATGAAACGCAAGTGTAAAGGTTTCACTCGATCAACATTATTTAACACCGTCTTGTGTGTCTCCACCAGCCTGACTCGTCCGTGGAGCCCTTCTTCAACTCCGTGGTGAGACAGCTGGGAATTCCTGACGTCTTTTCCCTCCAGATGTGTGGTGCTGGACTGTCAGCCGGCAGCGAAACAGACACTACGGGCGGCAGTCTTGTGAGTAGTCAGAAGTAACACCCCAAGGAGGAGTTTGATTAGATAAAAACATTGGTTTTAAACAGTCTTTATATTTTGGATCTCTGTCTGAGATTTTGATAGCTTGTGTGTGTGACCAGCACCTTTTTATAAACGTCATAGCTGATGTCCTTCATGTCACTGTGTTTCCACATTGGAAGGCCTTTCTACTTTGACTGGAGCTAATTAAGCTAAGATAGCATCCTGCTGAGAGCAAGTCTGTCGCCGTAATACTTTCGACCTTGGTGCCTCGCTCACCGCATCTCCATCATGTGACCCGCTGGTGCAGACAGATGGATAAGATAGCAGGGTATGTCAGAATTAGATCACTAAGTATCGGTATTTATCTGTCTTAAGAATCCTATTCCTATCAGGCTCTAATTTTAAGTTTAGTTAGATACTGAAGTGGTGAAGCTAAACAGATATGTAAACTGCAACTTAGCTGATTTACTGAGGCAAAAAAAATAAAAGGCAGTAATTCTGGTTATCTTCTTCTCTTAGATAATGGGTGGGGCTGAACCAAGTCTGTATCGAGGCTCAGTGTGGTACACCCCTATAATAGAAGAGTGGTACTACCAGGTGGAGGTGTTGAAGCTGGAGGTGGGAGACCAGAATCTGAATCTGGACTGCAGAGAGGTAAAACTTCACGGTCTGAATCGCTTCTCTCACTGTCTGATCCTAACTCCACACTGCACTATTTCAAAGTGAACTGTAACTTTGACTTGGAAGTTGACTCACAGCACTTGATTAACTTGCTGTGTCAAGGTTAAAACACTGAAATGTAAGAGAAGCTGAGTAGGAGTGCTGCAGAGCAGTGTAATCCAGTTTGTCTGCTTGTGAAAGAACTTCCTCATTTTATATTCTTTTGTTTGCTCAAGGTCTTCCATAGGAGTCCGTTGCAGCGAGAACAAACCCTACCGCACGTCACTCTTTCTCTCTTTCTTTCAGTATAACATGGATAAAGCTATAGTCGACAGTGGGACGACTCTGCTGCGACTTCCTGTCAACGTCTTCAATGCATTGGTAGAAGCCATCATACGCAGCTCTCTGGTATGCTGCCTCCGCTCCACAGACAATGATGAAACATGTTGTCAGAGCAAAGATATGCAGGGGAGAATAGCACACACTCACTGTTCAAGGACGTAGTAGCTTTAAGTGGAGGGATCGAGGGTTTTTTTTTCCTGTTATAAAAATATATATGTGTGTGTGTGCGCGCGCGCTCCATGCCTTTGTTTATTTACCATTAGGCTTTGCACATTTCTCACCTTTTTGGAACTGCACACAAACAGTTCCCAAGGTTAATTTGAACTTTGAGGCAACATTTTCAATTAAAGCAGCCACATCCTTGCAGATGAATACAAAGTAGGAAAATGAAAGCAGAACATCAAAACTTGTTTTGGTGCTATGTTGACCTTCTTTTTCTGTCTTTATCCTTTTTATCCTTCGCACTGTCTCTTTTCTGTCTCTGTCAATTTCTTACTGTGACTGTCTTATTTTCTTTTTCTCTTTCCTCCTGTGTTTTTTTTTTTGTTTTTGTTTTTAATTCAGATCGAGGAGTTTTCTTCAGGGTTCTGGGAAGGCACCAAGTTAGCATGTTGGATGAAGGGAGAGAACCCCTGGAGGTTTTTCCCTAAGCTGTCCATCTACCTGAGGGCCACGAACACCAGCGAGTCGTTCCGTGTCACCATTCTGCCTCAGGTGCCAGGCACATATATAATCATATAATCATTCCTTCTCTAGAGCTTCCATCAAACAAAGACAAACTCATCTCATCCTCATTTCTTGTCATGTCACAGCTTTACATCCAGCCAATCACGGACGTTGACGGCACGCTGGACTGCTTCCGTTTCGGGGTGTCGTCGTCAACAAATGGCATGGTGATCGGCGCCACTGTTATGGAAGGCTTCTATGTAATGTTTGATCGCACTCAGCGGAGACTGGGCTTCGCACCCAGCAGCTGTGCAGGTCAGGGTTCATACTGGTGCCACTTACTGCAGTTACATGTCTGTAAATATTTCGCTTTTTATGAGAAACTACAGCAGAAATCCTAAAGTACAGAGTAAACCAGACATCAGCTAATGATAACTTACTGACAGGCAAAGTCCTAAAGTCAGCCACTTTCAGGCTCCCTGACCAAGAGCTCAACACAGTGTCCTGTTCACTGAGATCTAAACGTCAAAGGTTAAGCCTTCAGTGGCACTTCCTCATAGTTCTGTGGAAAAATGAACTTTGGCCAAGCCTCCCTCCCTAATACTAAAGTACAAAGTTCATTTTTGTTGTGTACTGAGCAAACACTTTTGTAGGCTTAAGGTTGGAGGCTTGTGACAGCATTTAATGTCTAAGCAGGGCAGGTAAAATAAATAAGAAAGTTAAATGCCATTGTTTAAAAAAAAATGATGCCTGAGCCCGTCATCGAAGACTACGAGCAGCAGTGTGCTTGATTAAAAAGCTGGGATAAAGTCTGGAGCCTGGCTGTTTAATGCTCTGTATGTGAGAACAAGAATTTCAAGACATCCTGAAGCCAATGTAAAGATTATAAAATAGGAGTGACGTGAGCTCGCTTGCTGCAATGTGTTAATGGTCTGTGTCATTTGGAGGCATGAAAGAGATCATTTATCTAAGCAGGTAAAAACAAGGCAATAATTGTGCATGAATAATTTCTTCCAGTTCCACCAAATTCAATTTTATTTTATTTTTATGGGCTAAATCACAACAACAGGAACCCTCAAAACGTTTTATATTGTAAGGTAAAGACTACAATAATACACCGAAAATCTCAGCAATCAGATGACCCCATTTGAGCAAGCTCTTGGTGACAGTGGCAAGGAAAAACTCCCCTTTAACAGGAAGTAAACGTCAAGCAGAACCAGGAGGGCAGCCGTCGGCCATGACCGGTCGGCCAAAGAGACCATATTTAGCAATTTCTAAATGTTCCTTAAACGAGGAAAAACAGGAATGAAAAATGGATTTTGCACACTTTTAAAAGCAACAGTTGTTCAGTTAAATGTTTAAATGTTTAAAACGTTCATTTGCTCATTGTCAAGATAGCCTCAGCTAGCTCTCAGTCCAGCAAAAGTTCTCTTTACCTGTCTTTCCAGCTTTTCTCAAACATTAGCTCACAGTCACAGGTTAACTCTTTTTATTTGGCACTTGTTAAATTTGTATTGAATGAGGGCGTATGAGTGATGCTAACTTAATGCTGCTTTTTTGGTTTAATGAGATCATGTTATAAGACCTCTCTCATACGTCACTGCAGTGAGCGATGGGGTGGCTCTGTCAGAGATCGAGGGACCCTTCTCTGCAGCGGACGTGGCGGCCGACTGCTCTGGCGGCCCACTGAAGGAGCCTCTTGTGTGGATGATATCTTACGCCCTGATGGCAGTCTGCGCGTTGGCCCTCCTCATCCTGCTGCTCATGCTCATCCTGCCCTGCAGATGCGGAAACCGGAACGGTGAGATCACGGACGAGTCCTCGCTGGTACGACACCGCATCAAATGACTGAGAGGGCAAAGTAGAGCAAACCCGGGGAAGGGACAGTCGGACAGTGAGCAGAGCGCCTCCACGAGAGGCTGCACCGACCAATGACACTTGACTTAGGATTTTTAGACTGGACTCATCAGCTTGGCCCACAGAGGCAGTCGCACAGACAGATCAACTGCCTCTGAAGGGGGAAAATCCCCAGAACAATTCTTTAAAAAAACAGCTGTTGGTGGTGAATTTGTATTTTCTTGTTGGTTTTTTTGTGGTCGTGGCCTCTTGACGATATTGCTAATGCTATGCCTTATACAGAGGCTGGTGGAGGCACTCAAATCATAACTGGGCTTGTTCTAATTAAAACTGCTAAAGGTATTCTGAGAAATCTAGAACTTCAATAACACTAGAAGATTAAAATTAAAAATTTTAAAGCAGTTAATAAGTATACACACACTAACCATCACAGCAAAGAACAGCTCAGCGGTGCAGACAATCACAGCACATCCAGAAGGAAGGATAATAACACTGATATCATCTCCATGCAAAAGGTGTTTTCTAGGTTTCTAAGCCTTATAAACCAAAAGTGCCTTCGTTTTTGGTTTTTTTGTTTGTTTGTTTGTTTGTTTTTTTTTGGGGGGGGGGTTCAATCTAATGCCAACAACGGGATCTATTTCTTGGATCTATTTTGAAGTTTTCCACTCGTCTGTGGAGTCAAATGATTACCCAGAGATATTACATAAAAAATAAACTAATTAAAGTAAAGCTGCTCACTGGTAATAGGAAGAATATGAAAAGTTAGACTTGTGTTTACAGCGCCTGTAGTGCCTCTGTGGTCTCGGCTCTCTGCTAGAACAGTATCAGCAGTTTGGGACTTACTCTGCTGAATTGCACTTCCAAAGTCGATCAAAGTGTTATATAAAACGAAAGATCAATATTTCTCCTTCTGTAATGTAGTTTATTATTTTAATGTAGCTATACCCATTCTGTATACCCTCAGCTTTATATTTAAGTCTCTTTGAATGTGATTGTATCATCATCATCATTATTATTGTAATTATAATTATTCCAGATCTTTGCTTTCTGAGACTAGAATTCAAAGGGTGTTTATACTGCACATTTTATACAAATCATATACAGAAACACTTCAGCATTGATTTCCTTTGTTACTTGTGAGCTTCAGTTAACGTTCTAGCAAAGCAGACATTCCTGTTAGCAGTAAAAAAGAGATAAAGAATCAACTTATTGAATGTCATTTTGCAGTCTGTTCGCACCAGTGAAATAAGGTCCATACACAGTCCACAGAAGATGCTGCGCCACAGTTCAGCCTCATTCAGCTTCCTGTAATCTGACCCAAGCTGCACTAACATGTCTGAAAAAATGTCAATTTGTGAGACTGTTTCACTGAAAGCACACTTGAATCTAAAACTGCTCGCTTATTTATGAGTGTATTTTTTCTGTGCCAAAAATTGTAAACTGTGTTGTAAATAAAACAACTTGTGACAAATCAAAGACATAATCGTTTTTAAATCATTTTTATTTCTTTTTGGATGAGAAATACAACAAAATAAAACGTACTTAAATGTAGCTTATAATAGATAAAGTAATTTCAAAAAGTAACAAATTATGAAAAAGAAAATGGCAATAATTCAATGTAAGTTTTTCTCTGTATACGTGTCGGGTTGATACCTCTGTAAACAGAAGTACAATTCATCTGGTTGTGTTTGAACATTATCTGCATGTAAGTTGCTAATAGCAAATATTTTTATGCTAACACAAAAGGTCAAGATGAATATAATTACTTCATAATCATCACAATATTAGAGCTGTAACAGTTATTATCTTGATTAATGGTTAAATGTCTCTCAGTGTAGTCTTGAGCCGCTCTTCATTTCTGCTTAATTTGCCAAAACACGTGTAAACAAATAGAAATACAGTAGATAAGGCAAAAACAGAGTTTGTACAATTCTAACAAGCTTGAAAGATGATGTATGTCACCACCTTTACCCGGTTTTAACACCGAGTAAAGACTAGGTTTTTCTTGCTGCATAAAACCTTTAACAAAAGGCTGTACTATATTTTCTAAAAAGCTGTGATTGCCTACAGCTGTTTTTCCTTTATTTAAGAAAAAAATAAGAAGCAGTGTCATTGTGGTATTTTAAAAAGCTGTGTCATCAGACTCATGCTCTGGCTTCCTCAAAGTACCTTGCTCAATTCATGACACAAATGTTGAGAACTACGAGTCAAATGTTCAATACAGCTTAATGCTACTTGATGTCAGTGTTGCTAAGCATACGGCTGAAACGTACACTGATACAAATGATTGATTAGAACAACTTTTAGTTGCCACTATACGTGTCACGGTCCGGGGCAGCGGCCGTGTGAAGAGTGGAAAGGAGGACTCAGATGCAGCACTTACTCAGATGTGAAGGTGATTTATTGACAATACTGAACATAAAGTGGAGATGGCAAACAGAACTAAGGACGAACTAAACTGGGAGAAACTACACAAAGGGAGTGGCAAACCTGAACATGAATGGAGAACAGCAGGGAGAGCACGCAGAGGATTACACCAGGTATGAACACAGAGGATGAACACAGACGACGCGACGAGGAGCAGAGGAAATCACACACTATAAGTACACAAAGAGACACTGGGAAATCACACACAGGTGGGGGAAACAGCTGGACCTGATTAACCTGACGAGACAGGGGAACACTAACACCAGGGACCAACAGAGGGAGCACAAACCCAGAACCCAGTGTCTAAAATCCCAAACACAAACCATCCCAAAACAGCCATGAATAATAATGAAAGTAATAACAATAAAGAACATAAACATAAAGTCACTGAGTCATGGTCGCAGGACCATGACAGTACCCCCCCCTCAAGGGCTGGCCCCCGACAGCCACAGAAACACACCACCAGATCCGGGCGGGCGGCAGGGGGCCCAGGACGGAGGGACCGGGCCAAGACCAAAGACGGAGGCCCCAGAGTCCCAAACAAATGTTCACAAAAAAAAAAAAAAAACTCACAGGGGAGCAGAGTCCAAAACACAGTTCAGGTGGCCGGCCAGGGCCCGATAACACAGGAGGCCAGGATGGGACAGTTCAGGAGGCCGGCCACAAAGAAGGCCGTGGAGGCGCACAAAAGGTTCAGGAAGCCGGCCGTGCGGAAGGCAACGGCGGCCACTTAGGCGAAGAGGGTCCGGGGCCGGCCGTGCGGAAGGCAACGGCGGCCGCTCAGGCGAAGAGGGTCCGGGGGCCGGCCGTGCGGAAGGCAACGGCGGCCGCTCAGGCGATGGCGGTCCGGGGGCCGGCCGTGCGGAAGGCAACGGCGGCCGCTCAGGCGATGGCTGTCTGGGGGCCGGCCGTGCGGAAGGCAACGGCGGCCAGTCAGGCAACGGCGCCCGGCCAGTAGCCCGGCCAGCGGTCCAGAAAACGGCCGTTTAGCTCCAGACCCAAACGAGGCTGGGCCAGGCGAGGCTGAGGACACGGAAGCCGGGACCGCAGCAGGCGGAGATGATGATGCAGACACGAAGGCAGGACCAGAGGATGATGCAGACACGAAGGCTGGACCAGAGGATGATGCAGACACGAAGGCTGGACCAGAGGATGATGCAGACACGAAGGCTGGACCAGACGAGGCTGATGAAGACGCTGAAGCGGAGGCTGGACCAGGCGCAGTGGGTGAAGATGAGGATGCTGTGGCCGAGGATGCGGGCACGAAGGCTGGACCAGACGAGGATGGAGACACGAAGGCTGGACCAGGCGATGCTGAAGCAGAAGCCGAAGCTGGACCAGGCGTGGATGAAGCTGGAGATGAAACCGGACCAGGCGTGGATGAAACCGGGCCAGGCGTGGATGAAACCGGGCCAGGCGATGAAGAAGCTGTAGCTGAAGCCGGGCCGGGCGAAGCTGACGCTGTAGCTGAAGCCGGGCCGGGCGAAGCTGACGCTGTAGCTGAAGCTGGGCCAGGTGAGGATGAAGCTGGACCAGAATCAGGCGAGGATGAAGCAGAGGATGAAGCCGGGCCAGGCGATGAAGAAGCTGTAGCTGAAGCCGGGCCGGGCGAGGACGAAGCTGTAGCTGAAGCTGGGCCAGGCGAAGCTGACGCTGTAGCTGAAGCTGGGCCAGGTGAGGACGAAGCCGGGCCAGGCGTGGACGAAACCGGGCCAGGCGTGGACGAAACCGGGCCAGGCGATGAAGAAGCTGTAGCTGAAGCCGGGCGAGGACGAAGCCATAGCTGAAGCTGAAGCTGAAGCTGGGCCAGGTGAGGATGAAGCTGGACCAGAACCAGGCGAGGCTGAAGCTTCAGGCTGAGGCGTGGCAGTAGCAGGTGGTAGCCCTGCAGGTGATGGTACTGCAGGAGGCAACGCTGCAGCCACAGGTGGAGAAGCAGCCACAGGTGGAGAAGCAGCCTCCTGCTTCGCTAGCTGGGGGATCCTCGGGCCCCCCAGCCGACGTGGCAGTCAGTGTGGCATGAGGCTGGACGGGCTCCTCGGGCCCCCCAGCTAGCGAAGCAGGAGGCTGGACGGGCTCCTCGGGCCCCCCAGCGAAAACAGCCGCAGAACCAGTGGGCACCGGGGCCCCCGGCACACATGAAACAAAACCAGTAGGCACATGGGCCTCTGGCACACATGAAACAAAACCAGTAGGCACGTGGGCCTCTGGCACACATGAAACAAAACCAGTAGGCACGTGGGCCTCTGGCACACATGAAACAAAACCAGTAGGCACGTGGGCCTCGGGCACACATGAAACAAAACCAGTAGGCACGTGGGCCTCGGGCACACATGAAACAAAACCAGTAGGCACGTGGGCCTCGGGCACACATGAAACAAAACCAGTAGGCACGTGGGCCTCGGGCACATATGAAACAAAACCAGTAGGCACGTGGGCCTCCGGCACACATAAGGAGGGCTGCAGCTGCGCAGAGCACTGACCCTGCTCAGGCAGTGACAGCCCGGTGCAGTTCACAGCTGGCATCTTGGCCTCCAGGGGTCCAGAGTAAACTGAGGGCAGTAACCCAGCCTCTGGGGAAGCCCCGGAGTGAGCAATAGTCTCTAATGTAGCCAGCTTTTGAGGAACAGGTCCGTAGTGAAACAGTTTGTCTCCCTGCTCAGAAACAGCGGTGGAAAAACAGTGTGAAAATTGTGGCTTAAGGGAGGCTAATGGTTGAGCTACAGACTGGGAAGCT